AATTAAAAAACATTCAAAGTCTGGATAAGTCTGGCGGTCGCTTGCCGTGTCCCGAGGGATTTCAAAATTCCGTGTTCAACTGAGACCGGGCTTGGCAGGTCAATCTGTGCCAATCACCCCATCCCCCTAGTATAGAAAACACATTAATATGTAAATCCCCTAATTAAACCTTGGTTTGCCGGAGATGTTTGCTATTTTAGGGGAAGGATCAGGCGACACCAAGCGATATGTCTCCAGGCGATCTGCCGCATCTTTCAGCTGAGCCTCTTGACACCCGAAGCCAGCAAAGCTCAAGGAGACCATCGAGGGACAAATGTACGAAGTCAAGCCACCTGCAGATTTCGGACCAAGCTTCTCAAGCCATCTGACCATCTTTTAAGGGGGAGAATCTATGGGATGATGGGGGATAACACCGACAGAAACAGGTGGTATAATGTGGATTTAATGGGAATATAGATAATATAATAACCAACGATTATATACAAGCATTCCCCCGCCCATTTTCAGACACCCCCATGAAATTGTCCGCTTCTTCCAGCTGCTTTCCCACCTTCAGGCAAGCGCCGAGACACTTCTGCATAGACCTGCGCAACTGCTCAGGGACTTCGTCAGCATGCGTCACTTGTTTCTAAGGTTCATGAAGTAAAGTGAAGCAAAAGGTGAACTCTGCAAGCTACTGGCTTACATTTTAGAATATGTTGAAGCCTTCAAAACTATATATATATGTTTTAAATGTATATAAGTGCCGTATTTCAAATCAAGTATCAGTATCACCTCTACCTGGTCCCAGCCGCAGCGCCTGCAATTTGGAGCCAGGCCTTCACGGGCAATGACTGGATTGGAAGAAATTTACAGGGAACTATGGTTTTCCAAATGAACTATGGGGTGCTCGGGGGCTCCTGCAATTTTCCTGTTCAAAGATATAAACAAGGTTGATCCCTCAGCACCTGAGGGTAAGATTCTGAACATGGGCAGTTTTTAGAGGTAAACTGACCAATTTTCCATAGTTTCCCAGCGCTTGTGGCACTTGTGGCTAGCATGTGTTGGAGCAACCCTGATAAATGAGGATATAACATTGCATTTTTCATAGAATCTAATGCGATATTATATAACTATATATGAATCGGATTGATGGTTTCAAGCCATCAGCAAAAAAAATATGCTTTTCATTGGGGATCATATCATCCTCCCATTTCTATATGGTTAATAATATAAACATATCACCGATTTGAAATCCATCATCCGGGGCTCCAAAATCGGTAATATGTTATGGTTCTTGGGGTGTCGGTGGAAGCCTTAGGCCAAACCCTTTCTTCGGCAAATGTCCAAAAACAAGTCCTTTCACGGATCAAGTGCAACACCGAAAAAAACACCCTCCTCGGTAGGTGCCTGAAATCGGTCTCCTCGGGTTGAACGTAGGCGCAAGTGTTGTTGCTGCCGCAATGCAATTCAATGCAGCTGTGGATGCCTGCCACACGGGGGATCTTCCGAGCCAGGCGAGCCTTTCTCTTAACTAAGTTAGTGCCTCTAATGTTGGTAAGACAATAGGATCCGCCATCCCCAACTTTACCATTTTTATGGTTGGCATAAACCATTTTAAACCATCAAAATATGGCGGTTTTAATTATTGCTTTACTTCATTAAGAGCCTTGGGGTAGATGCAAAAAAAAACATTGAGGAACTCGACCCAGTCTTCTCACTGGGGTGATCGCTACCTTTTTCGTAATGGGTCATGGATTGAGTGAGTAACTGGGTGACCAGGCGATATAAATCCACTTCAAGGATCATCCAGGAATATCGGTATCCCAACCAGGCAATCGGTAATTGCGAAAAACAAAAACATCAATAATGCACATATCATCAAACATCTAGATTTATCATGATTTATCTAGATTTATGATGATTTATGGATGAATTTCCCACATATGTCCTGTTGAGAATAACATAAATAAACATTTCCCATGGATTTTCCAGCACAATTCGAAGCTCGGAGATGATTCCCGCAACTGACCCAGTGAGGCAAATCTTTTTGGACAGCACGGTATCTGTGGGGAAGTCGGAGGACTCAACGGGTTGGTTTAAGGAAAAAAAATGCAGAACACATCAGAAACCTAGCATTTTCCTATGAATTCTTGGCGTTTCCAGCGGATTTTCCCTTAAGAACCAATGTTGAGAGGGAGAAATCAGTGTTGGATACAAGATCTGAAGATGTGGTGACTGGTGAAAAGTGAACAGTTACACATGGGACTTGAGGAGGTTGCTAGGTCACCATGGTCACAAAGCGCCCAGCTGTGTGGCGTGAGAAAAGCTATGAGAATTTGGCCTGTGCAGGTGTTTGACTCTAGGTCTTGTGCAATTGTCACACATACAAATTTATCTTCAACATGTTCTTTTTTCCGAACCTAAATTATATGTCGTTTGGTGCTAGACTCTAAGCAAATATGTGGAATGGATCCGCAAACAAAACACAACTCCAAATGGATTTCGTGATGTTAGGCCG